TATTCAACTCTGACTCAAAGATCCTCTATTGAACTTGAGTACACCGTGGAGATTGGTTTCTTGTTAGTTTTACTCAATTAATAATAGATTATGTGCAAAATACAGTGTTAGCTTTTGGTTAATTTAATGAGAACCATTTTTATAATTAAACTACAGGAAAGACGAACGAGAACAAGAGCAAGAGGGATAAATTGAGGAAAACAAATGTATATTTCACCTTGATCGTAAGACTATTTACCCATATACGATTATTAGATCCAAAAAATTAGTTTGGGGTGTTTCAAAAATTATTTTTTACTTGGAGCGGTCATTGGCAGGGATTTTTTTAATATATTCGACGAGTATAAAAAAAAATTGTGTTCATTTTCTTTTTTTAGTAAAAAAAATTACTCTTATACTTTTTTTTTTTTTTGGAGTTACCCAACCTTAATTATCTCTTTGAGACGAGTTGGCTCCCTCCGGTATCCCCACGAGCTTCGACTCTTTGAGCCGGCTATGGGACTAATCCGGAGTGCGGGAGAACAGTGATGACTAAAGGTTAAAATTACTCTTATACTCCTTTCTTTTCTTATATTTTCTCCTCTATTCCTTTTATTTTTCATTTTTGAAATAGACCATCCTAACCCGAACCGCAGTAGAAGCGCTCCATTGGCAGTATGGCACCACCATCCTCCCAATGTCCTATTTAGTTTTATTTTTTTTCTTTCATTTTTAACATAAAAAATGAATGCTCAGCTAAATTGTGTCATATGACGTAATCCGATTGGCCCATTTTTTTATATGTTATCTAAGGAAAAGAACCAAAAAAAAAAAGTCTCCGTTGTCCTCTTTTATAAAATATCCATATGTTGATACTCACTCAATTCTAATACTAAAGAATTAAAATGATTAATTAATATAAATTATAATAATTAATTACTTGTTATAAAATAATAGATAATTAAAAGAAAGTAGAGATAAGAGATAAATGTAGAAAAATAATTTCTTATTGCATTGTGATCAGTATTTTAAAATCTCGCCAAGTCACTTGACCTCTACCTCTCTTTTTGAAAGTTGGGGTCAACATTTAGACTTTGCATGCATGTTGACTCCTATGATTTTTGAAACCCTCAGTTGAACCCGTGACTCCCAATCAGAGGGAGTCACTACATTTAAAAAAAAGTACACTCAAAAAGATGTTGTTTGATGTGAAAAAATAAATAAATATAAAACACATATTCGTTGCTGCCTAGATCTCGAACTAGATCTAAAATCTAAATCATTTGTTGTAAATAATAGTTATTTATTTATTTATTTGTCGTATTGGGCTTAGCCCATTAGGTCATGTATTCTCTTTAAATAGAGAACTCTTTGTACAGATTATTCACAATTCAATAATAAAATCAGATTACATTTTTCAAGTTGATATCAGAGCTCTCGACCTGAGGGCTCTACTTCCGCGCCTATTGTCTTTTTTGAGCAAAACCCTAATTTCTTTGCCTCTTGCCGCCACCGGAATTTTTTTTCCGGGGACCTTTTGGATCAAGAGGACCACTGTTGACCTTATTTTTCTCCGATCTATAATTCTACGCATCACTCAGCCACAAACAACCTAAACACCTCTGACCGCCTCCAATTAGATCTGTCTTCACCGTTTGGACCCTTTTGCGGCCACTTTTCAACCACGACCACCCACAGACAGGTGCGCGCTCACCAGACGACCACGCCGGAAAAATCTCAGCCTGAGAATCCTCCCCACGCGCTCTCACGCGCCGCCCCTTTCTCCGCGAGTGAAGCTCACGCGCAGCCTCTTTCTCCGGCGCGTGGAGGCGCATGCGGCCTTGTTTTTGGACCGAATCACCGCCATTCTTCTCGTCTCTGTGTTCTCTCTCTGGATCTGTGATTTATTCACTGATCGAAGTTCTTTTGCTTTTATGTTTGGTTGATTCTGTCACCGTTTGTTAACTTTTTCATTGCAGTATGGCGGAGAATGATGGTGAGTCAACGATTTCGCAGAATACACACCATACTGATACCCCACTTGGTCACAATGATCTTCCTAATTTACATTAGAGCTATCGCCTCGATGGATCTAACTACTTGTTGTGGTCTCATCTTATTCGCACTACCATCAAGAGTCGCAATAAGATTGCTCATCTTGATGGCCCTGCTCTTGTGAAAAATGACCTGAAGTTTATCGTCTGGGATAATGAAGATTCCCTTATCATGACTTGGTTATGGAACTCGATGACTCCTGAAGTGGGTCTTTACTGCATGTTTTTGTCTTCTGCCCAGGAGATTTGGGACACTGTTCACTCAACTTATTCTTTGAAACAGGATATGGTTGCGCGCTATGAATTGCGCAATAAAATATTCTCTACTAAGCAAGACTCCTTATCAGTGAATGCTTATTATGGTATTTTGAAGGAGTTGTGGACTGAACTTGATCAATTTCAGAGTTTGAAGATGTAATGTACTGCAGATGCTACTGCCTTAGCCAAGGAGGTGGAAAATGAGCGTATTTTTTGATTTTCTTGCTGGTTTGAATTTTGAGTATGATCCTATTCGGGTTCAGATACTTGGCAAAAAGACTTTTCCATCCCTTTATGTTGTTTTCAATACTGTTCGGGGGGAGGAGACTCGTCGGGGAGTTATGATGAACTCTGATAAATCTGCCATGCTGTCATCACATGATGGTGCTGCTTCTAAACCCACTGATGGGGACTATGATTTCCACAAAAAAAGGATGGTTTTACTCAAGGGAGTTCTTTTACAAAATTTTCTGATGGTGCATCTTCTAGACCTAAGAAAGATGATTGTTGGTGTTCTTATTGTAGAATAACAGGTCATATCAAGGATCTATGCTTTCGCTTCCATGGAAAGCAAAAGGTCTTAGAAAAGATGGCAAGGATGCATGGTCAAGCGCATTATACTTCCTCTGATATAGCTCCTGCACCTAATGAGACTCAACCTGCATTTCGTCAATATGAGTTGGAACGACTCCGGACCATCCTTGATTCTCTGAGTAAGCCATCTGGTACTAGTGCTTTGGCTATGACTGGTATGAGTTCCAATACTTATTCTTTTCTTACTTCATGTACTAATTTTAAACATTCTTGGGTTATTGATTCTGGTGCTACTGATCATATGGCTTGTTGTGCTGGCTCCTTTATTTCTTACAACCTTACCATTGACACTCATACAATAGTCGTAGCTGATGGCTCACATACATCAGTTGCGGGTTCTGGTAACATAAAATTACAGCCCTCCTTACATCTCAAAGATGCTCTTCATGTCCCTAAACTCTCTACTAATCTTCTTTCTATTTATAAAATCACAAAAGATTTGAATTGCACTGTAACCTTCTTCCCTACTCACTGTGTTTTTCAGGATCTCGCCACAGGAAAGACTATTGGGGGTGCTAAAGAGCAAGGGGGGCTGTACTGTCTGGAGTCACAATCTCCCGCAAATAATGTTAAGGATCACATCTTGTTGTCTCATGGCCAGTCAACTGCTGATTCTCTGATTTGGCTTCATCATAAGCACTTGGGACATCCTCCATTTAGTTTACTCAAGTCTTTATTTTCGTCATTGTTTTTGTCTAAGTCTGTTGAGTCTTTTCATTGTGATGTTTGTGAGATTGCTAAGCATCTTCATATATCTTTTCCTTATAGTATTACTAAAAGTGTTGAATCTTTTGATCTTATTCATTCTGATGTTTGGGGTCCTTCTAAGGCCCCTCATTCTTCTGGTAATAAATTATTTGTTTCTTTTATTGATGATTGCACTCGTGTAACTTAGGTTTACTTAATGCGTGAAAAGTTTGAGGTACCACAACTGTTCTTTCAATTTTATAAAATGGTTGAGACCGAATTTGGTAAAAAAATCAAGAGACTAAGGACAGTTAATGGTACTGAATATGTTAATCATTGTTTTTCCCAATTTATACGAAGTCAAGGTATGATTCATGAACTTACTTGTGTAGACACCCCTCAACAAAATGGGGTTGCTGAAAGAAAGAATCGTCACCTTCTTGATGTTGCTCGTGCCTTACTGTTTCAAACACATGTACCCAAATGCTATTGGGGAGATGCCATTCTTACTGCAACATTCTTGATCAACCGTCTACCCACTCGGGTTCTTGATAATGTAAGTCCTATTCACTCAATAACTTCTTTTTTCCCTTCTGTTCCAACTTTGCAAAGTCTTCCTCCATGAGTGTTTGAGTGTGTAGTCTTTGTTCATGTTTAGAAACAGCATCGTCGCATTAAGTTAGATCACATGGCTCTTAAATGTGTTTTCCTTGATTAAGCTCCTGATAAGAAGGGCTACAAGTGCTATCACCCTAGCAGTCGGAATTTTTTTGTTTCTATAGATGTTACGTTTCAGGAATCTAAGTCCTTTGTGGTAAATAATTTTTGGATTGGGTCATTAGCCTGTAATCATAATTATCGGTGATAAAATTATTATTATTTGTTAGGTACGTAATGTAAATACTTATATTTTAGAAAAGCCATGTATGACTAATAATTAAGAGGAAAATTAAGATTTTTTTTAATTATACTAATCCTAATTCGATAACAATGGATCAAAAATTGGAACTCTGATGTACTTAAGAGATCTAAAAATTCACTTTTGCCATATAACTAAATAAAGTGTTAAGATAATCAGATATACACATTTTAAATTCTTTTTTTTTTCTTTTAGTTGTGACTGTATACATTTTTCACGCCTTATTGATATCGTTTACTATAATGTATGGTAATTCCCTCGATATTTAAGGCATTACTATTATTATTATTATTTTATCCTTAAAAACAAAATGTGGTTTTACGTGCAAGAATAAATTTCGTCATTTTGCTTACAAAAAATAAAATAAAATTCGTCATTATAATAACTCTACATTGTTAAAAAAGGATAAATAAGCAGTCATATTTCTTTCTTTATTTTATTTTTTTTAAATTAAGAATTGGATAAATTTAACGAATCGGACGATAACAAGGGAAAAAGGAGGAGGCAGTTTTACAGAGCCTCGTAGTAGCAGAATGCGTTGGCGTTAGGGGGTGGAGCCCACTAGCGGTTCGGCAACAGGTGGTTCCGGCTCAGGACTTCGTCCTCAATCGGTCCACTCCGCTTCTGGGAAATTTCTTCGCCCCTGACCTCACCCTCCTTCAATCTTTGCACAATTCAACACGTTATGCTTCTTTCAACTATTTCTATTCGTCTTCTTATAAACTAACTCCTTCATTCCTGTTTTTTTTCCTCTACCATAATCTCACCATTTTGTTTCACTAACCTTTTAGTTAATTAAATTTGAAGAAACCATTTCCACATCCCTTTCATTTTTGTGTTTTTTTTTTTTTTTTTTTTTTTTGGTTCACAGCCTGATCAGGTTTCCGATTAATCGGCGATCTCCTTCTGCATCTCGTCTCGCGATCAATTAACGGTTGTGGTTTAAGGCACCGCCATCACCATGTCCGTGTCGGATTCCGATTCCTCCTCTTATGGCGGTGAATACAAAAATCTCAAACAAATTAGCCGCGAGCGTAAGTCCTTCTTCCTTTCATTATGCTAATTGTTTTAGATCAATTCCTGATTCGTTTCTCTCATCAATTGGCTTAGAGCTCTGAACTCACTTCAAGTGTCTATTATCTTGCACAACTTCATTTCTCTTTTGGTTCTGTTAGTGAATCCTTATAATTTTTTGTTCACTGGTTGGTTCCAAATTCTACCGTTGTCTTCACTTTGTCCTTGCGCGTACCGATCTCAGTGAGTACAAATAAATTTGTCTTTGGCGTGTGTTTTTGTTTGTTTGTTTGTTTGGGAGTTTTATAAGGTAAATGACAAAGCACGTGAAGGCAAGTCAGCAGCTAGTGCGTTAAGATGCGAAGCTTGCCGGCAGTGGCACCCGTTGGTGGTAATGCTAAACAACAGATTCAATAGCTTTAGGGGGGAACTCTGCATAATAGGGATTGGAATCTTCTAGTCTAGTAGTAGTGGAATTTTCAACATTGAAATTCTGCATTACTATCTAGTATCTGCTATTTTTTCTTGTTTGGGATAAATATTGGTTCCTTTCTTTTCACTGATGAATTTTCTCCATACCCAAGCTGCAAGAAATAAGAGAGGTTTAAGCTAGTCTGTTGGACATGATGTACTGCCTTTACGAATAGAGAGGCTAATTGTCAAAGGATATTGCGGTGGATGTGTTTGAGAATTAGAGTACAGTACATGAGACTAGTACGCCTTGTTATAATATTCATAGATCCCTGGAAATATGGCGGACAGAAATGATCTTTTAAGATTTATGCTGTTACAATGTTAAAAATAGGAACAATTTGCAGCTTCTATTAGTTAATGGATTGTAACTTCTCTTCGAAGCTCAATTTTTTCCGAAACCTTAATGGAAGCAGAGTTGTGGATTGCTTTGCTTGACTCTATTCACCCTTATTCATTGGCGGATGTTGGGATTTGAACTTTAGACTCCTCTCGGGCGTACCCTTGGAAGCACAATTTTGTTCCTAACTCTTTTTCCTACTTTCTTTCTTCTTGCTAGTCTCCTTCAGAAGCCCAAGGCCCCCTCTCTTATGTGAAGTCTTTCATTTGGAGTGCACAAATTAATAGGATTAATACTAATAATTTATTGCTGGTTGATGAACATACAAGTCTCTCTCTCTGTCCAAATGGTGGTGTTGTGTGTTTTATTTCAAGAGGTTTTGGGAAATGTAATAAAGAGAGAAAGTTTTTTGGTGGTGTACTGTGTATGTTACTACGTGGTGATTATGGTTTTAAAGGAATGATAGAGTTTCAGGATAATTTGTTGCCATTAATCCTTTTATGGAATAAAGTGGTCTCCCTGGGTTCCTTATGGTGTACAGGTAATGGTTATTTTAGAGGGGCCTTTTTAGAAGACATGTAGAGTGACTGGCAAGCTTTGGTTAGTTTATGCATCCTTCTTGTTTGCAGGGATTTTGTGTTTTTTCTTTCTTTAGTTGGTTATCTTATCGTCTGTTGTTGTACATACTGATTTCTACTTTTGTCTCCCAGAAAAAAAAAGGAGGAGAAAATACAAGATAAATAAAATCACTCTAAATAATTTCATTTTTTTTTTGGTGTAGTTTTTCATATTTCTTTAAAGAGTCAAGAGATCACTTTATTACTGTACATGCCAATTTTTTTACTTTTAATATTGACACCCAACTCAATACAACACTATTTTGTCCTTTTCATTAGCAGATAGACTGACTCCAACATGTTTTGATTCTTTCGAATAGTTGAAGTGGATAATTCATTTGCATGGATTGCATCTTTCTGCATGTTCTTTTGCTTCCTTCTAACTTTTTAATAGTAAATTGCTTAAAATTTAACCGTGACCAATTGCTTTCTGATCTGAACATCTCATTTAGTTTCTGTGTTCTGAAATTTTCTCCAGGATTATTACATGAAATGCTCAGGTCAGCGAAAACGGGGGATTCAAAATCAAGATGGAAGGTATGGGATGTCATTAGTTGAATATATTCTGCCTTAGGTTTTTGAACTTCACTATAAAAATTAAAAACAGATGCACCGACTGTTCTGTTTGTTTTAGCTTCAGTTTGTAGTTTCATTCGAGGAATCTTTAGAAGAAATTTTCTTTTTGATGCTGATGATTAGACATAGGACAGATTTAACAAATCTTTTTGATATTTCACCTTCGTGTAAGAACAGTCAATAAGCTAAATCATGTTTCTGGAATGCATGCTTTATATATTGGATCCATGGCTATTTGCTTCATGTCACGGGTAGTCAGCAATTTAGCATAGTTCTAAATGGTATCATTGTAGAAAATTTATCAGATTTCTCTACATATCTATACTAATATTAACTATTAAGTATTAAGCCAGCTGCAGAGTTTGTTGATACATTCTTGAACGAGTGGTAATTGATTAAAGCTTGAGGAAACTAATGAAGATGAGACATTAATGTGTGTGTGTGTGTGTGTGTGTGAGAGAGAGAGAGAGAGAGAGAGAGAGAGAAGTAGAGAATCGTTGAGTTTGGAGACAAAATGGCAGCCAGGTCAGGTGATTGCTAGAATATTAACCTTTGTTAATCTTTTTATTTAAATTTAAGAAGGAAAATATGGCATTGTGCAGTTTATAGGGACAAACTCTTTGTTGTCTTTACCACCGCTGTGGAGTACAAAATATGTTTTTGGGGATTCTCTGTAGTGTTCTGCTCACATAGGGTATTTTCCTTTTTGGATATGCTGATTGATTTTAGAGCTTTTGCAATGTCCTTTCATTTTTTGTATATTTTTCTTAATTGCCTTGGTATAAGAGTGTTAGATATAAAAACCATTCATAAACCTCTACCAAGCAGTTTAAGCTTTTGGGATAGTTGGTTCATTTCATGACATGGTACTAGAGCCTCTACGACCAAGTGGTCTAGAGTTCGATCCTTGTCACACCCATTCTTTTAATAAACCTTGAATTTCATCCTAATGTGGTGTGGGCTTGTGTATTATCCATGCTTTAATTCCAAAGGGCTCTTGTGTGAGAGGGGGCATTAGATATAAAAACCATTCATGAGCCTTTACCTATTAGCTTAACCTATTAGCTTAAGCTTCATGGATAGTTGGTTCTTGACAAGGAGGATGCCTTTTACTCCACTCAAACACATTCATTTCTTTTTAAGAAACCTGCTTAAGCTTAAAACAGCTAAAAGCATGATACTTTTAATTGTTTACCATCTTGTATTGGTCCATGGTTTGCTTGCCTGCAGGTGCTAATAATGGACAAACTGACTGTCAAGATAATGTCTCACTCTTGCAAGATGGCTGATATCACGGATGAAGGTGTTTCATGTAAGAATCACAAGATTGATTTTTGAATAGTCATATTTTTTCTATCCACAGCCAGTAGAAGACTTTCCATTATTTTTCTCTGATTTGGTTTTCATGCTGTGCTTGTTGATTTTCTTCTCTGATTAAAATGTTAAATTGAACTAATTCACACTCCAAAAATCGCAATCTGTATACATGTTACTCAGGATATTTAAACTTGTTTTAACTGTGGTTAATTTGTTATGTGTTAAATGGTTCTAAAACTGTTTAAAAAGTAAACAAAAACAGAAATTCTGTACCCTCCTTTTGCCCTCCCTTTTCCTCTTCTAAAAGTTAAACGAAAAAGTCTACCCGAGAAAAAAAGTTAAAAAAGAAAGATAGAAAACTCTTGTTTCTTTTCTAGCATGATGAAGCTGAAGGATTTTAAGGGGAATAGTAATGGTGAGACAGATGGAGAAGTAGTCAATAGAATAGAAGGTGATTACATGTTCTTGTTTCTGTCTTGAGAAAAAAAACGGACTTTTAAATGAAGCAATGTAATTTCATTTTACTCTGTTCAACTACACATACTATCAGTCCTTCTTATATGACATTTGCACTCCGTAAGAAATCTGACGCATCACTTAACTTACTGCTGATATTAAGGAGTAGGTATATTGTTGTAATTGTAAATTTTCTAGATAACCCTTATAGAAAAATTTAATGAACTCAATTTATGGGGTAAAATAGTAAATGACAAGTTTTTAAAATAAAAGCATGGATATTTTTCCTCAATTACACCCCAACTTAGAGGGGAACAAAAAATGATGTTTGATGGATCCTTGTTAAGCTATAAATTTTAGTATACTCTAATCATTCCATTAAAAAAAACCTTTCTCAACTATCATTATTGGATTTAACTAATATGAGAATGGAAGAAACTTATTCAGGGAACACCTGTATTTTGCACCAGTTCTATTTCTTGTATGGTATATGATTTTTTGTTTTGTTTTGCTTGGGTAGTGGTTGAAGACATATACAAGCGAAGGCAGCCATTGCCCACCATGGATGCTATATACTTCATCCAGCCAACCAAAGAGAAGTACATATCCAGTTTCATATGTTTGTGGCGTATTTAATGAATTATCTTAGATTACCTTGAGAATGCTCATAGACTGTAAGCGCAGCTGATTTTCTGGCGGTCCGTCATGGTTGCGTTTGCATGATTTATTTTAGTTCTACTGGAAAAAATAAATCTTGCTTATGTTGAAGTTTATAGTTTGGCTGCTTGTCAAAAATACTTGTGGTAACTGGTAATAAAGACTAAGAGTGTTGATGCTGGCCATGAAAATAAAAAGAAGAGATTGTATTGCTGATGGTTTTCAGTTTTAGCGTTATTCTTTTGAAACTCTTCAAGGAATTTACTTACGTTGTCTTTACTCTTCCTGTTATTTTGTTTGCTTGTTTGGTATGTATTTTTCAGTTTGTTGCGAAGTATGTCACTAATGTCTATAGACATGCAGTTTAGAAATCATTTTGGACGTCCAACTCCCTTGTCTCTTGGTTGAAAATAAAATCAAAAAGTTGTCATTGGGTTTTGAATTCGAGTGTTATGATTTCTTTTAACTTTTGTTCTTTGATCTCTTACTTATATTCTCTCCCAATTAATTTCCCTTTTATTTATTTATTTTTTCTTATGAATCTGATTTTTTTTATTTAATTTCCTCCATGTTCACTACTTAATATGTAATGATACTATACTTTATTTTTTTATTTTGTTTTTTCCCTTCCTTTCTCTTCAAAATGCATCATGACACGTCACTATTGTATTGTCATTCTCTCTTTCACTTTACACGTATTATGTAAATTGGTGAATGATTAATATTCTGAACTTTTGTTTCTGTATTGTAAGATTAGTTTCATTTAGCTTTGGTGGGGGTTTTAGTTAACCTATACTATTGGTTTTTATAGAATTGGTCCATACTTATTGATTTTCCCTCTTCATTTTCATTGGCAGTGTAATTATGTTTTTGTCAGACATGTCTGGAAAGACACCCTTATACAGGAAGTATGAGATCTTTATATTACCTCCTGTCTGCAATTTCATCTTGATTTCCACTTACTGGTTTTCAAGCCTGTTTTATTCTGTGTTGTTGTAGGGCATTTGTTTTCTTTAGTTCACCTATTGCCAGAGAATTGGTTATGGAAATTAAGAAAGATACGTTGGTGTTGCCTCGCATAGGTGCTCTGAGAGAGGTGAATTTTTTTCATGTAGGATCTACATTGTGTTTAAATTGAGATTTTCCAAAACAATTTCAGAATTTTCTTATTGTGTTTTGTCCCTCTCACTTGATGCTATGCAGATGAATTTGGAGTACTTTGCTATAGACAGTCAGGTATCTGGTTGTTCTTTTTTCTTTATTTCACTTGCCGTCAGTCATACATATCATCTTTGTTCATATGAATACAATTACTTTTCTTCGCTTACAGTAGTTTGTATTAGTAATTTTCAAAACTTCTGACATGTAGAAGTGCACCTTGTGTTTGCCCAGTTACACATAGCCATGAATGAGAGTCAAGTGATGGATCATGATGTTCTTCCTGTTAATCTAACTTGTTAGAATCTGTTATCTGTCGAAGAAAACCTCCAATACAAACAAAGTCTGTTCTTTAGAATGCTGAATAAATTGAACAAACAACTATACTTTTTTCTTGATCTGCAAGGACTAAGTTGAAGTATTTTCTGAGAAGTGAAAAATGGAACAACCATGAAATATGTGTATCGAACATCCTATAACATGTGCAAGTTGGCAATTTTAATCATTCAAGTATATTGCTTTTACAATATCTCACCAACAAAAACAGTAATATATAGAGCTACATTGTTGGAACTTAAAAATTTATGAAACCTGTTTGTTGAGGTTCCTTCCCTTGAGGAAAATTTGTCAACCTTTAAATTTTCTCATTAGAAATTCTTTATTAGTTTCTAATCCCATCATCATACCAATTGTTTGGTGTCCTCATTTTTGTGGTGTGTGATTTTTGTCATTTAATGTAGGGTTTCATCACAAACAATGAGAGAGCTTTAGAGGAGCTATTTGGGGATGAGGAGAATAATCATAACGCTGTTGCATGTTTAAATGTGATGGCTACTCGGATTGCTACAGTTTTTGCTTCATTGAGGGTATGTAGTCAATGCTATGACTCTGTGATAGGAATTTAAAAATTGCAATCAGTGTTCTATAATTGTTCAAACAAATGATTGAGAAGTCTTCTGAATCACGTCAATGTTTCTCTAGGAATTTCCTTTAGTTCGTTTCCGTGCTGCGAAGTCCCTAGATGCAATGACAATGACTACTTTACATGATCTTGTTCCAACAAAGCTTGCTGCTGGTGTCTGGGACTGTCTTATGAAATATAAAAAAAGTGTACCTAATTTCCCTCAGACTGAGACCTGCGAGTTGCTCATTATTGATAGAACTATCGATCAGGTTTCTTATCTTCATTTGTTGGTCATGGACTTGTTATATTAATTCAACTGACTGTATCATATTGGTTAAAATGAGAATTCTATTCTGAATGTGTAGATTGCTCCTGTGATACATGAATGGACGTATGATGCCATGTGCCATGATTTGTTGAATATGGAGGGAAATAAATATGTTCATGAGGTATTCTACAATTTCCTTCTCCCCCTCTAAATTGTTATGTCTGTTTCTTGTTATGACCAGAAATCTACTGTATTCTTAAGGTTCCTGGCAAGACTGGTGTTCTACCTGAGAAAAAAGAGGTTCTGTTGGAGGATCATGATCCTATATGGCTTGAACTTCGTCATGCACATATCGCAGATGTATGTCCTGTTTTCACTATTTTGTGTTTAGGGTTTAGGCTTTATGGTATACTATTTGGAGTCATCTCTACTATTTAACACTTAAGCAACATGAATACCCTTTGATATTGATGGCCTTGTCAGGCTAGTGAACGGTTGCATGAGAAGATGACCAGCTTCATTTCAAAGAACAAAGCTGCACAAATCCAGCATGGTTCAAGGTGAGTCATAATTTCCTGGGAGTTTTTCATCATTGACATTGTGATGTAAGAGGATATTGATTCTGAACTAATTGTGGTAATGGTTTAATCAATATTGAAAATAAAACATTTGCCTGATTTCACTATTTTTATCAAAAGCTTGAGTTGAAAGTTATGATTTTTTTTTTTAGTTTTATATATTCAACTTTGGCGTCTAGCCATGTTAGAAAGAAACTCTTATTCTTTCTTTTAGTCTCTATGTATGTGTGTGCGTGTGCATGCATGTGATAGGTACCAGATACAATAAAGAAAGAACGAGAAGAGGAATTTAGGAACCAAACAAAGAACAACAGTGGTATTGTAGCAAATTGGTAATGAAATACAATTGAAAATGACACTTCTAGAGGCCTTCTCTCCCACTCACTACCCAAATTCAATTGCGAAATTGCCGATCCTACGTGAGCCTTACCCCTAGTATGCAACAAACTCCCCTAATAGAATTCACCCCTCCCTCACAAGTTTTTCTCACCTAGTCCACGTCAGCCACTATTTGTTGTGTATGATTTCCTACTTTCTGCTTAATTCTCCAAGCATACACCCTCCTACTTATGAACCTATCCGCATGGTATGTTGATCTATTACCATTAAATATATTTAATATTTTAATCACACCTCCACTTACCACCCAAGGCTACCACAAATAGCATATTTGGATACCGTTTTGCATTGTAGTTGAGAAAACCAAACTGAACTAGCTGGTTTGACTAGTTCAATCGACAAATGGTTCATTGAGTGGTTTGATCCAACCTCTCAAACCGGTCATTGAACTATTGAACCAGGTGCTAACCATCTGAACCACACTTTCAAGTTTTGTTTTCTCCAAAAATGTGAAATTGCCTCCTGGTATTGAACCTTGAACTTCATTGTGTCATCAAGTGTCTTCTACGACTGCGCCAGAAATAATCTTTGATATTTATGCAAATTCTTTGTATATTACATCCTAAAATGTATTTAAGTTGTGTTTATTTTTATTAATAATATTTACTTCATTTATCGATTCAACTCTTATTATTGCTTTTTTTTATCTCTGCAGGACAGATAATAAGGTCCTTTTATGCTAATTTACAATTTCACCTAACCTGTTTTTTTATGATTTTATGTTAGTTTATTACTTAAAAATATTATAAAATATTAAAAAATTATCATTGGTTCGACCACATTTCATTCATGGCCAGATTGGTGAACAATGAATCAGTGCCTTAACTGGTTCAATGACCGGTGTGGTTTTATAAACATTGGTTTTCATTGTCGGAATGTGTAATTTGACCAGTTTGAACTTGTTTGGCTTCCCTCCAAAAGTAATCTTGGGCTCCTTTAACACCATGAACTGAAGTTCCAGCAGAAAAACTACCTTTATCACTTCTTCTTGAACATCTCTTTAGACATCCTTGAGGGTGATTTTACAATTTTGGGCTCTACAATATTTTAAAATATTTACTATTATTTTTGTTGTTAATTTCATTCTTGGGTTATTTTATCTGACATTAGGAAATATATATTTTGCATGGCTGAGGCTGATAAAACTCTTCATTTTCTATTGAATTATTTTAACAAAAATTCTGTTTGGTATGAAAGTTTTTGTACGAAAGCTGTTACAATTGTCTAATAACTAATCATGGTTGGAGAGGAAAAAAAGTAGAAAAATAAGTAAGCAACTGACAAAACACAACAAACTTTTTTCACCTTTTTCTATTCATGAGTTTTTTCGTGAAAACATATTTGTACTATTTAGAATTTTTCTTATTTTAAACTATTAGGTGAAGATACAATATTGGTTTTGTATTTCTAACATAAACTTTGTGTAAAATGACCATAGAGGCATGTCTATTTTCTTGTAGAAATAATTTGGCCTTGTTTTTTAGTTTAATGAAGACTAGATCTGTAATTAATGGAAATGTCTATTCATTCATCTAATTACTGTCATCATAAACTTCACATAACTAAGCATTTCATTTATAGAGGTAGTGGTGAAATGTCAACAAGGGACTTACAAAAGATGGTTCAAGCACTTCCGCAGTACAGTGAGCAAATTGACAAACTCTCCCTCCATGTAGAGGTTAGTTCTTTAGTTATGCAATGTTACCCAAAAAAATTGTGATTGTTGTATGATATGATTGCACACACACACACACACGCACACAAAAGGTACTATCTTCACTTGAAAGCTGCGTAGTAGAGGCCTTCTACAGTATGTTAATGTCCTTAACAAAAATTCTTATTTACTCTCCTTTAATACCAAATTTTAGTTGCATGTAGGTGAATTAGTTGGGCATTTATATTAGTTCTGTTTTTTCCCTTGTTGTGACCTTCTCCCCGTACAAGAAAAAAAGGGAAAAAAAACCCCCTTAAGTAATGGTCTTATTGTCCTACTTTCTTTTTTGATTAGAGAATATTTTGTTAGCAAAAAGAAAGGGGAAACACATTCCCTCCTTTCATAAAGGCTTAGTATTACATCAGTAACTTACTTTAGAAGTTACAGTGATTCCTAATTATAGATCATTATCAAATTAACTGTTTCCTTTGTACTATTGTGTATCTGAGCATCCCTGAAGAAAAGGTAAGCCTAGCATGATTTAGCAATATGATAATTCATTTGTTATTTGCAAGAGTGTGAATTATTACCTAACTTACTTAGAAATAGAAGTGTGAACATTTAAATATTTGTAGTATTATTTTAAAATATTAATGTCTATTCAAAATTTTAGTTGCTTCTCATTACATCTTAACACGGAACTTATAGATGTTATCTGTTATCCTGCAGATAATAGATGAAGCCATAATATCATGCAGAATATCAGATTTTTTTTTTCCCCATTTTTTTGGTGGGTCTTTGACGAGGGAACCAATCACAGACAACGTCTGAGGGGTTAATCACACTACAATGCCTGTGGGAATACCCTAGTCAAATGCAAAAAAATCTGTTATCTTGCATAATATTATTGTTTTTATCATAATTTTTGCTTGTGGATGACTGAATACATGAACTTTTGTGCTTTAAGTTTGTTAGGTATTTCTGAAAGCTAGTTTTTTCTTCAGCGATTGATTGACATTAGGGTTTTAATGTATTAAAATGAATTAATTACGGTAATGGAGCTGGTTATGATCATTGGTTTCTTATATATAAATGATGACCTTCTTTGTCCAGATTTCAGGAAAGATTAATTACGATAATGGAGCTGGTTATGATCATTGGTTTCTTATATATAAATGATGACCTTCTTTGTCCAGATTGCAGGAAAGATTAACGGAATCATTAGGGAGTCAGGACTTCGGGAACTTGGGCAGCTGCAGCAAGATCTTGTTTTTGGAGATGCTGGAATGAAAGATGTGATTAAATTTTTGACTACGAAAGAAGTAAGTAATTCTAAAATGGAAAATGAAAAGGTTAAAACCTTACACACCTCGTCAGTGGACTTAATACAAGAAAGCTTTCTACTCCAGGAAATGGGTTGTGAAACTAGAAATAAAACTTTTTCCTTTTCATTAGCTGAAAATCACTCATGTATTATTTTTATGCAGGATACAACTCGTGAAAATAAGTTGCGCTTGTTAATGATTCTTGCAGCCATTTATCCTGAAAAATTTGAGGGTGAAAAAGGTCTGAATTTGATGAAGGTGTGGCTTCTTTAGACCTGGGTGCCAAACTAAATTGCCATTTGCTGTTCTGTTCGATTAATATGTCAAAGAATAAATATACTGTTATCGATCTGTTTCAGGTTGCAAGGTTGACAAATGAGGATATGATTGCTATAAATAATTTGAGAACGCTTGGGGGACAACCTGATAGCAAAAAAACTTCAACCGGTGCTTTCGCTCTGAAGTTTGATATGCACAAGGTAATTCATAGTTTAAATATATGATTTTTCAGTAACACTTTATGTCTGAAAAATGTTTCTCTAAATTGTCAGAAAAAGCGTGCAGCAAGGAAGGATCGTTCTGGTGAAGAAGAGACATGGCAGCTATCACGCTTCTATCCCATAATAGAGGTACAAATTAAGTTAATACAATTTTCCCACTTGAAATATTTTTATGTATTAATTTTATGAAAATTTCATGGGGAGGATAGCATAAGCAAAGCTACTGTTAAAACAATTTTCTTTTATCTTTCCTTAGTTAATTATTAACTTTGCATTATAGATGTGCTTATGGTTTTTTCTAATTGAAGAACCAGCTGGAGTTGGTTATTTGAAGATTTAGATCACAATTGATGTTGTAAACATGCTGGTTAACGAAAAGTAGGGCACTCTGCAAGCGTTTATATGCTATTATGTTTTTTAATCTCATTGAATATTAAGAAAATAAAAAGGACTCCGTATTTCCATATCATGAAATTTTTAATTTATAGTAATATTATCTTTATGATGATTCCATCAGTTGCTTATAAAGCTTTTAGAGCCTCGTATGTGATGAGTGGATGGACCTTATTCAGGAACTCATTGAAAAAATCAGTAAAAATGAATTGTCAAAGGAAGACTATCCATGTCTAAATGACCCAAGTCCAACTTTCCATGGTACATCTCATGCTGGATCAGTAATTCAAAATCCTCCTGCTCATTCGATGAGATCAAGGCGCACACCAACTTGGGCTCGACCCAGAGGCTCTGATGATGGGTATTCAAGGTTCTACTTTCTTTCCTCCCGAATACAAGTCACTAATATGATAAATGCTTCTAATGAGATCTGTTTATATTTTTCACTTGGTCCATGAACTCTGTTTTCTTCCCACTTTGCCACGACCTTATGATACCTCTTAACTTTTAGGTTGTGTGGACTTGCGTTAGCTTGCTATTATGTAGATAATTAGTAGGGAACTCCCAAGTATCTGTTGGAATTGCTTACTATGACCTGCCATTCCAAAACAAAACTATCTTACATTTAATTTTCATCTTTCCTGCTGGCATATAGCGATTCGGTGCTTAAGCATGCATCCAGTGATTTCAAGAAGATGGGGCAACGAATATTTATATTTATTGTTGGTGGAGCGACCAGATCTGAGGTTTGAATAATATTTTGATAAAATGAGGTTGTCATTTTTACTGTTTTTCCCTCCAGCTTTTCTGGACTGATACATCGTTTAATCATCAGCTTAGGACTTGCCACAAGCTTTCTGGTAAGCTGAAGAGGGAAGTTATTCTGGGCTCGTCAAGTCTTGATGATCCTGCACAATTTATTACGGTATTGAAGTGTTAACCTTTTTAAAGTCAAACGTGTTCCCCAAATTGCAATTTGCCATAACCATTCCTGCATGCTATTTTTCTTCTTTTGTAGAAATTGAAGATGCTAACAGCACAGGAACTTTCATTGGATGATCTCCAGATATGATGTTTACGAACTTGGAAACTGGGAGATGATCTTCTGCTTGCTTGTGAAATATATATGTTGTAATCATGTAGTTTATTCATCTCAATATAGCAAATTCTTTGGACATTTGACCTGTTGTTCAGCCGAGCCACTGAATGTCAGACTGTGCATATGCTAGGAATTCTTCGCTGGTTAGACACGCAATTTTTTTTTATTTTATTTTTTTAAATTCTGGTAAATGAGTTTCATTCAAATGACATTTTGTTGCAAGGAAAAAAAAAAAGGGAACAATGTACTGCTGAAACCTATCCCCTCCCAAATAAATAAATAAGTAAATAAATAGAAGTTTTCCATTCGTTAGAAGCTGCTTGACAAGAATTAGTTGTGTCGAATAGAAGACACAGAATGAGTTGGGTATCATGTTATCCACTTTGCTTTAAGCAATACTGGTATCACAATTTATCGACTCAGAATATTAAAAGGTTAGTTCCCCCACTGTAGCTATTTAAGTGTCTGTGACTCCGGACGTTGGTGGGTTGTTTACAACAATGTTAGACTCGGCTGGTTACTGGATCATCGGTTAAATTGGTGGGTTACTGATTAAATCGACGGGTTACCAATTAAATTGTACGACCTGGTTTAATAGATCAAAACTTATATTTTATACATAAAAATGTATAAAAATACTCAAACATACATGTAAAAAATTGTTATGCAGGGCTGCGAATATATATAGTTTTTATAGGGATAAAAAAAGTCATATATGATAAAACATATAGTATATTGTAAAAAAATAAATAAAGAAAAAAAAATTCAAGTATAAGACAATCACATAATTCCTTTATCAAATATCATCAACTAGTTATGTATAATAATTATAAGGTATTTATCAACTTCTCTTCTCATAAAAATGAATTTGTAAGGAATAAATAGGTTATGTTCTCTTAATTTACTGTTTCACACATTGCTAAAATTTAAGGTCAGTGTAGGAGAGTATACTATTAGCAAACAAAACAATAAAAAAATTTAAAGGAGTTTCATATTTTTTTTAAGACAAGATGAGACAATTTTGATTTTTGTTTCTTTTTTATAAATCTCCGATTTTGATGACCCGATCATTTTGATAAAACCCGACTGGTTCGAATCAATTTTTACCGGATTTGATACATAACTAATTCAATACTTGACTCGAATAATGATTCGTTTCGGATTGACCAGCCCGGTTCGAGCCAGGTCTAATAAGCCTAATTTACAAGTATTTGAGCCCGTACTCACGAAGATCAGAACATCAAGTTGAGGCATTTACCCTGCAATAGCTTAGGAATAAGAGACGGGTAGCCTTCATTTGTAGCACTTTGTCTCGTACAGTCAACGTCGACGCATATTTACATTAATTTTTTTTCATAATATTATCAATCGTTTTCTGTCAATCAAACTGTCCATGAGCTGTAATGGGAGTTGCGTTCACATCGATTTGGATATTTTATGACGATTAAGATGGAATGTTATATAATAGAAAAGAATGAAATAAAATAAATTTAAACATAATATTATTAGTTGGATATTTAATGACGGAATGAAGAAATTTTGTTATTTTTCTTGTTGAGAAGTTCTAGTAGAAAAGAATGAATCGAGAAGTATTACAAACTATTTACTTTCATGTTGTCGTTATGTCAAATAAATTAAGCCTTAAAATTAAAAACAAAATTGTATTTTCATAAGCTATTTCATCCCATATTCCTAATTTAGAAGATGAAAAAATGAGAAAGGATATAGAGTGGGATAGGGTGTACCCAATTTCATTAAATTATATTTTTAGACATCAATTGGTGGTATCTTTTATAATTCCCTTTCTTTCCGTCCATTAGCATCAAAGCCAAAAACGCCTGATGTGATTCTCTTGCAAGGAAAAGATCGCTGATTTTACCAATCTGCCCTTAACAATAACTCCCAAATCTACACTATGAGTGAGTTAAAAGTAGTGTTTTAAAATTTCATCCCATCCCATGGTCGATTTCACTAGGTCACTGATCCCCTCACTTTGAGAGTTGGGGGTCAACAATTAGACCCTGCATACATATTGACCCTTCTGACACTTCGAAACTCTCGATTGAACCCGTGACTCCCAGGTCAGTGGGGTCAGATGGGGATGGGGACATGGGGTCATTGCATTTAAAAAAAAAAAGTACACACAAAATGACATCGTTTGATGTGTAAAAAAAAAACTCATTGCTGCCTAGATATGAAATTTGAATAGTTCTTCTTCTATTCTGATCTTCTCTCTCAGACCCAGACAGTCTCTTTGATCCAGTGATCTCCTTCATCGTGGTGATGGTTCTTCCTATCCTCTTTGGTCTTCTCTTTCCCTCTCCTCCGCCGTGCTATTCTTCTCTTCTCACCGTTGATTCGTCGTGATGCCACCTGTCCTCCGTCTTTCTTTCTTAGGTAAGGGATTTCATTTCACATGTTGTTGTAGTTGCATGAGAAGGAGAAGGAGGGCCTAAGTTGAGTTTGATAATATAACTTTTCATTAACTCCATTGGAATATGTGTTTTATACTTTGATACTTTAATTAACTTGTGTAATATTTACTTGTGGATGTCATTAGTTGAATTATGTAAAGTATATTTTAAATTTTTGATGATTCATATATGATATATATTTATATTTTTTTAATGTATAAAACTGGGGTCAGCGAAATAATCCCGTGAACCCTAATTGAACCCATGACCCTTACCTTGGCCGGGTCAAATTTTTAAACACAAACTAAAAGTATTTTTTTATTTCCAGAATAGGGTCAAAGGTCATATCAACAAATATTGTGACCTTTTCCTCCATGAATTCATGGGACTTTCGTTATAATTCATGGAAAATTGGAATACAAGGACTATTGATAATGGGAGATTTCTCTTACCTCATACAAGTTTTCCCATCTGACTTCCAGTTATATTGATGTTTGGAGGATTTAGAGTCACAGTTAACTATATAGAAAGTCAACGCCGTATAGAAAGTCTCACTACGAAAAAAAGCTATTTAGCCACATTTAAAAATGTGACAAACATTGATAAAAAATGTGGCTAACAAACTTTACCACATTTTCATTAAATGTGGTTAAAAGAGGTGTTGCAATAGTTTAGCCATATTATTTTATTCATTTTGCCACATTTTGATTGAGTGTGGTAGCCTTTTTTTAGCCACAATTATTGTTAATTTAGCCACTTTATAAATGTGGTTAAACTGTATAGCTTGCCACAATAAAAAAATGTGGCTAATTATGTCTGAAATTTGTTTTTACCACATTCATGAATGTGGCTAAATATATGAATTTTTTTAATTAAAAATATTTCAAATTTAACAAATATTTTACATCTATAAAGAAAATAATTGAAGAATTTAAGAATTTAACAAATATTTAAGCAAAATAGTGAATACGATGGAACATGAATCAAACTCATATGAGCTAATCAAGTTTTAAGTTTGTTTATTGATATTATTGAAGAATTTTTACAAGACACCAATTTTAAGTTCATATGAGCTAATCAAGTTTTCTACTAATACTACATAAGAGAAATAATTGCCAAATAAAACTATTTAGAAGTTTGTCATGGAATGTCTATACAAAAAGTCATCTTCTCTGTTTACTAAAGAAAAAAAAATCATCTTCTCTGTTTACTAAAATATCTTGGTTGAAAGTAGCCAACTCACTTCCAAATTTAGCTAGTAGAAATTTGTGAAGAGAAGCCAATTGCTTTTGAGTTTTCACAAGCTGCTCCTTGGTCTCTTCATATGCAACCTTGGTCTCTTCATATCCAGCCTTTATCTCTTCATATCCATCAAGCTTAATTTCCAAAGATTTTACATGCTTCTTTAAGTCTTCCACACATTGTTGACTTGAGCTACCAAAATTGGCAAAACCAATAGAATGCCTAGGCATTCCAAAAACATTGGAGGGGCAAATACCAGCACCTAAGCCACGCACCCGACCTGAAGGCTCAGCTCCATATGCTTTTCCAATAGCATCATCAGGATAAGCTAGTACCTTTGATGGAACACCTAAAGTAGCAGCACGCTCTTGATCTTGAGATAGGTAGTCTGATATCTTATCCTACAAAATAGTTGCAATGTTAAATACGAGGAAGTAGCAAGCTTAATTCATCACAGGTTAACCAGTCACATAACACAAGCTTGGTTTACAAGAATATGCAATCAAGAAGTATAGCATAAATATTACTGGATCATTATTAGAAGTGGAAATCTAAACATACACAACAAACTATTTCCATAAAAAAGATTAAGTTATAATTCTGGTGAAATACTCCAACAGATGGATAATTAAAAAAATTTAGCATATCTTGTCTTCAAAAAAGGCAAGGGGACAAGAAGAGGATTACAATAAAACAGAGAAACATCATGGACCTCACTTTCTTATACAATAAAATAAAGAAACCAATATATATAATAGAGAAGTTATTGCATTATTGTTTACTTACAGCCAAAGTCTTTCCTTCTTCATTTACGTAACTCCCGTCCTTCTTCAGCAAAGTTGATAAAATAACCTCACCTCGACATACAGGTCTTCCCAATTGTAACTCTTGTGTCATTGATAAAAAATAAATTAACAAATAATTGACATATGCAACATAACTAATTTTCTACAATAAGCTAATAGCCTGAAGCAATTTACCATTTCACGGCCTCTCCTTGCATTGCTCTTACTACCACCGGTATGTGAGACTTTAAGCTTCTTACGACTTTGTGTGTTTTGTATACTTCGTGCCTATAATTTTTAAATATGATAATCATAATATACCAAGTTTTTCAAGATATGCACAAAGTAAAAGAATTTCCTATAAAGAATATTTACCTTCATCTTATCATTCTTATAGTGATTATTGTCTATGCTCAAAAGCAGTCCAATCAACACAATTAACACCTGGAGGAGGATTAGCAAGTATGTCCTCCTTACTTTTATTAGGATAAAAGTTCTTACACCTTAACCTATATTTATGGGCCTTCCATCTTTTCCATAAGGTGCTCATAGCCCATTTGATGCCAGCAGCATAATCAAACTCAAAATTTTCCTTCAAATATTATATGCATAAATCAATCTTTAATGACAAGAGAGACAAAAAAATTAAATTAAATTAAATTGCTAGATATTTAGATAATTACCTCAATATAATTTCATTGCTGGCAGTTATTGTCTTCTGGCATCCAATTCCATTTTTCAACTGATATTGGACATATTGTTGAGTTTTGAGCAAGTTTACCAAGAAACCTCACAAGTAAGTTTGCACCATTGTCATGTCTTTGTCCATTACCATTGAGTTCAACAATAAC